CCCCTGGGAAGACTGGCATTCTTCAACTCAACTGTTGAAGAATGAGCTAAGTTTCCCTGCACTTTTTTCTCACCTGAGTCCAAACAGCCTTTAACTGGTCTGTTGGTCTCCCACCTCAAGCTCCCTCCCCTCGAACCATACTACAGCTGGATCAAGCGCTACTCCTCTGATTCAGACCTCTCAGGGGGTGTCCTCATTACCCGCAGCTCAAATCAGGGTCAAGGGCCAACTCCCAGCCTGGCAGGTACCAAGAGCTCCACCCTCTGACCTCTGCCTGTTTCTGCAGCATGGCCCGCAGCACTCCCCCAGCTCCCGGGCAGCTTTCATTGCTCTACCCCCTTGGGTGTTGAGCTTTTTGTTTTAAGAGCACAACCCTTCTTTTCCGTAGACAAGAGCCTCCATGTATAAAGCAAAACAAGCAGAGCAGTTCCAGTGAAAACCCCAGGGCTCCCGAGAACTGCACCCAGAAACCACTTCTCCAGCTCTCCCCGAAGCTACACCCGATTTCCTGCACAGTCCTAGCTCCTCACCTTGGGATACGCTGGTGCTGGTCCGCTGCTGCCTGGGTTCCCCGTCACCTCCCCCCACCCCCACTCTCTGGCCTGCAGATCACCCGTGCTGTGCTTAGTCGCTCAGTCGTCTGACTCTTTGTGACCCCATGGGCTGTAGCCCACTGGGCTCCTCTGTCCATGAGGATTCTCCAGGCAAGAATACTGGAGTGGGTTGGCATGCCCTGCTTCAGGGGATCTTCCCAACCCAGGGATCAAACCCAGGTCTCCCACATTTCAGGCAGATTCCTTACTATCTCATCGTTAAAATTACATCTCAAGAGTCACTCTTGGGGCTCTCACAGCACACTAGGTTGAAACTGTCTGCTCCCCATCACCTGTGGGTGCTTCAAGATCCATCTCTGCACCCAGGACCAGGCTCTGTGGGTTCGAAACGGACGCATGAGGAAGGGCCCAAGACATATATACACGACTCCATACAAAATGCATAACTAATGAGAACCTACTTTATACCATAGGAAACTCTATTCAGTGCTCTGCGGTGACCCAGATGGGAAGGAAGTCTAAAGAGGAGGGGATACGTGTATTCAAAAAACCGATTCACTTTGCTGAGTAGCGGAGACTAACACAACACTGTAAAGCAACTATACTCCAATAGAAATGAATGAAGAGAGGAGTGAATGAGGCTTCAGCCACGGAAGAGAGACTCTACAGACCCTCTTCTGGGGGAGGAGGTGAAGGAGTCAGATGCAGGACCGGGCAGTGAGAAGGAGCCAAAAAAGGGGAGTCCAGAGAAAGACAAACATCATATGATATCATTTATATGTGGAAGCTAAAAACATGGTACAAACGAACTTATTTACAAAACAGAAATAGAGTCACAGATGTAGAAAACAAGCGTATGGTTACCAAGAAGGACAGTGGAGAGGGATAAATTGGGAGGTTGGGACTGACATATACACATGACAATATATAGCACAGATGACGAACAATGACCTACTCTGTCAAACAGGGGACTCCATTCAGCGCCCTGCGGTGACCTGTATGGGAAGACAGTCTGGAAAAGAGTGGATCTACGTATACATGCGGTTGGTGCCCTTTGCTATGCAGCGGAAGCTTACAGCATTGTAGATCAACTATGCTCCAATAAAAGTTAGAGAAACGGGAGAAGAGTCAGGATTCAGTGAAGGAATGCAGGCTTCATGGGGAGGTGGGGGCAGGACTGGGTAAAAAGGCCCAGGAATCAGATGGGAGAAGGGTCTCAGTAGGAGGGGCACTCAGCATGAGGCGTGGTGAGAGCAAGTGGGATCCCCATGAAGGGCAGGAAGTCCAGGGGGAAAGGGGGTCAGGAGAGGACGAGGGGCAGGGAGGGTGAGTGGAGAGAGGGCTCGGGAAGGGGAGGGGTCCTCGTGAGTGGGACGGGGTGGGGAATGCTCTGCCAGGGCTCAGGACTCACCGCTGCACGTCTCACCTCCTGCAGGGACACCATCACTCACAGCTGAGACCATACGCTTCTGGACTCAAAACTGGTGTGTGGTTCTAGATCAGAGCTCTATCAGGTGACTTCTGGTGGTCCCACCAGCATGCAGTCACACAATGACAGAGTCGACAGACCTGAGGCTTGAATATACGGCAAGAGTACCCCTGGCCCCCCAGGCTGCCCACTACCCTTGCATGTGGTGGGGACCAGAGCAGCCACACACGCTCTCCATCCTTCCATCCCTCCCCTAACTCCCCTGGAAACTCTGGGGCAAAATGGCCCACACATTGTTTATACAATGACATGCATCTAAAAAAGAATGGATGTATGTACATGTATAACTGATTCATTTTGCTGTACCCCTGAAACTAACCCAACATTGTAAATCAACTATATTCCAATAAAAATTGTTTTAAATGACATGCATCTCACTATAACCCTATATGCAAAACAGAAAAAGAGACTCAGATGTAGAACAGACTTGTGGACTCTGTGGGAGAAGGCGAGGGTGGGATGCTTCAAGAGAACAGCATCGAAACATGTATATTATCTAGGGTGAAACAGATCACCAGCCCAGGTTGGGTTCATGAGACAAGTGCTCGGGCCTGGTGCACTGGGAAGACCCAGAGGGACCGGGTGGAGAGGGAGGTGGGAGGGGGGACCGGGATGGGGAATACATGTAAATCCATGGCTAATTCATTTCAATGTATGACAAGAACTACTGCAATGATGTAAAGTAATTAGCCTCCAACTAATAAAAATAAATGGAAAAAAAATAAATTAAAAAAATAAATAAATGACATGCACCCCAGCCATACAGAGCTTCATATTTCACAAATGTTTCACAGTATGTCTATTATCTCATGTAACCCTCACTGTATTCCTGAACAATCATACTTGCAGTTTTATGGTTACAATTTCACGAGTATTGCCTAGCAACGTATAGGTTCCCAAGAGCGTTACCAAGAGGGACAGTGGGGAGAGGGATAAATTGGGAGATTGGGATTAACATATACACACTACTATATATAGCATAGATAACAAATTATGACCTACTCTATAGCACAGGGAACTCTATTGAGTGGTCTGTGGTGACCTGTATGGGAACAGAATCTGGAAAAGAGTGGATCTGTGTATACATGTGGTTGGTGCACTTTGCCATGCAGTGGAAGCTTACAGCATTGTAGATCAACTATACTCCAATAAAAATTAATTTAAAGAAAAGAAGAGAAGAGTCACCCCTCTCTGAGCCTCTGTCATTTTGGACCCCCGTTGCACCCTGAGTCTTACCCACCTCTCCCCCTGTCCTTGCATCTCACCATTAAGGATGTCTGTCACTCATACTGCTTGGTAATAAACACTGGGCTACCTGCTACCAAGGCTGTGGGATGTGGCTGTGTCAAAAGTGGAAACATCGAAATGACTGCATTTGATTGGCTGTTGCTGGGACCGGCCCATTCTGATGGCCAGGCCAGTACTTTTTTTTTTCCCTAAGTACAAAAGATGAACCCAGGTCTCCTGACCCTCTGGTGTAGGTGAGTGTGTGGCTCAGCAGTGGAAGTGTGACCATTAATGCATATCACATGATGGTGAGTGGCCTCTCTCGTTTTCTCTCTCCTCTCGGAAATAGAGGAGACTGATTATAAATCGCTAAACTGCATCTGGCCGGTGGAGACCAAAATACTGGCCGCAATAGACGAGAAGGGAGGAAAATCAAGGCCTCGCTGCTGATTAAACCTAACCATCTCTAATTGTTTGTTAAGCCGGGGATTTTCAGCTTCACCAGTTCCCTGAGCGTCTCTCTCTGGGTTGGATTCTGGCCTCGGCCACTCCCGTGGAGACCCGACAGAACTCCATTGCTTTTCAGCCCTTCCTGGTGGGCCTTGGGCTGAAGGCCTCAGAAGTGAAGCAAGAGGTGGTGGCCAGACGTGAGAGAAGCTGCCCATCTCGGGGCATGACATCTATTCCGGTGGATGCTGAGAGACAGGCAGACTTGGGTCGGGCCTCCACCACACACCCAGGGGCCACTCCCATGACATGATGGCATGTCCTGAACCTCCATCCCTGAAGGCGCTGAGGGAAGGATGGGGGACCTGCTCTCAGGACGGCCTAGGGCAGGATCCTGGGAGAGACAGCGAGAACGGTGAGGACAGGTAAATACTCCATCAGGCTCTGTTGTCAAGAAGACTGGACTCACAGGAACCAGCAGACCTGGGTTCCAACACTGACTGTGTGTCTTCTAAACTGCCATCTCTTCCCTGTTTGTAGCTTCAGTTTTCCTATTTGCACAATGATGGGATTTTTTTTTAGGCTGTGAGAACCCTCTTCTTCCAATGACACCTCATGTGGAATCTTCCCGAGAGCAAGGAAGAGTGCAGCCGCTCTGGTTTGGAGGGAGGTGGGGCCAGCCTTGTGCCTGCTGCCTCCCCATCACCCCTCAGGGCGGCTTCCTGAATCCCACTGGGCGGGGTTAAAAGCCACAGTGGTGGACAGTCCCACGGACACTCGGCTCCACCGTCCCTGCCCCACGACCAGGGCAGTCTGTTGCCCACTGCCTGTCTGTGTGGGTTTCCTGGCCCCCAAGGAGTTGAGGGCTGTATTTCAGACCTCTAAATGAAAGGAACCCTGAACTCCTGTCTGTGAAAGAGGGACACTGAGGACCCCAGGGGCACCGGGCTGGGAAGCATCTCCATGGATGCCACACAAAGCTGGTGTGATATCAAAGGGCATAATCCACAAACTGGATCCTCACAGGAGAGGGGTTAATCTAGAAAACAGCATCTACAAAGGGGAAAACAGACAAAGTGAGTTATCTACAGGATGGGTAATCTCAATAAATTAATCCACAAACTGGATAATCTACTGAGTGACGTACAAAGCTGTAATAGACAAAGCAGAAATCTGCAATGGTCATCACAGAATGAAATAGCAGAAGGTCGCAGTGCCCAGACAGTGCCCTCCCCACCACCACTCCCAAGGGCCACGGTGGTCCAGCCCCATCCCTTACTCACTCCGCCTCTGCCTCTTCCCCTTGATCCCCCGGCTGCCGGCGGCCAAATGCATCCAGCTCAGAACCAGGGCCACCACACACAGTCCAAGCCGCATAGTCACTCGCCGGCTCCAGGCCCCTGGTAGGAGGGGTGGTCTCTGTGGGGGTGGACGGCGCAGGGCTCTTGCTAACGCCTCCGGGGCTGGGTCAGCAGCAGGATGTCCAGGCTTGGGCTGTATCCCAAATCTGCTCTGTATTCCAAATCCACCATAATCTCAGCTGGGGACAGAGAGGGTGTGGGGAGCCTACTTCTCCATCAGCCCATAAAGAGATCCAGAGAGCTTTCCTCAAAGGCACCTCGGGGTGTCACATGGGGAGAACTCTTTGTCACTTCAGCCAGGACACCTCCAAAAACCAACCTGTTGGGGGAGGAGAGAGAAGGGTTAATTCTGGGGTACCAGTGGGCCCCCTTGCCCTCCCATCTGGTGCACTAACCAGGAGACAACTCAGAATGTTTGACCATTACAAGTCACCCACCTGGCACCCCTGTAGAAGAGACTGACTCCTTTTCCTATCTGGCAAAAGTCCCTGATGTGGGATGGGAGTTGGCTACCCAAGTAGTTGGAATATGGTGGACACTCAAATCAAAGTTGTGGATCACTGGAAACTGGCTGCCTGGCTTTCGCCCTGCCCAAAGTGAGCCAGCTCTATCTGGAAGTCCTTCATTAGGTCTAGCCTACAGACTTCATGCTGCAGTAATATCATGACTCTTAAAGAGCAGCTCTCTCTATCCTTCAGCAAGTGACCCCTCAGCCTTCTCTCCCCAGTGCTGAGTCACCCCTGTGCCTTTCACCTGTCTGGAGCTAGAGCAGTGGCCCCCAACAAGCTGGCAGACCCAGCGTGGCCCTCTGGGCTTGGCGGGAGAAAAGGAAGTAAGGCTTCCCCCAGCCACAGAAACTCTGACACAGCAGGCCCGGCGGGCCTGGCCTTTGTGAGAGGATAAAAGAGGCAGCGATGCCCGCCCTGGCCAGAGACACAGAGAATGGGGATAATCCCCCAGCCCAGCGAGAGCCAGGTCTCTGGACCCGCTGGCCCGGGCGATGGGGGCAGGGGAAACCGATCCCTCCCCAGTGAAATGTGTCTGGGAAGTTGGAACCCAACCTGGGAGTCAGGAGATGAAAGCCCACTTCCCACTCACAGCTTGCTTCACACTTTCACAATGAGGCCTGCACATGCACTGGCCTACACGCTTGCTGCACACGCACCCATACTCATACAGGGATGGGAGGAAACAGCAAGTCTTCAGGAAGCTTTGGAGACGCCAGGGCAGCGTCGCTCTCCCACTGGCTGGATAAGATACCTTTGAAAGAATCCCTTAGCCTCTCCATTTCCCCATCTATTAAATGGGGATAAATATGTCTACTTCACAGGTTTGCTCTGAGAGTTGTCTGCCTTTTGGCCTAACTAATGAGAAAGTTGAAATGCTTGAGTGAAAGTGCCCCTCCCAACCGTGTCCCAGTCTTTCCCCCTTCGCCTCCAGGGAGGCCCCAGGGGAGCCCACCTGCATGGGAGATAAATCATTATCCCACGAGGGAGTTCAGCAACCCCTCCTCGGTCTCTCCCACTGGCTTTGAAGGCCAGACACACTCAAGTGGTTAAGCTGCCTGTGAGAAGTGTTTACACGAGACTGATGGATCCCACCTGGAGCCGTGGCTGGAGCCTGTGGAGATGCCCCCAGCCACCCCCCAGTGCCCCGTCAGCTGCCAGCCCCCACCTGCCCCTCTAGTACTCCTTGCGTGACCTGCCAGAACCTTCCCATCTGCCCCAGCCCCCACCACACTCTTCCACCACCCACAGATTACAGACGTCCGGCCGAGTGTATCAAACTGGGGTCTTCAGCCCCCAGTCCCAGAGTCTGGCCGTAGACCATGATGGTTAAGGGCGTAAACTTCAGAGTCAGGCTGCCTGGCTTTGAATGTTGCCTCTGCTACTTATTAGCTGTTACTTTAGCCTAGTCGCTTAGCTGGTTTGAGCCTCAGTTTCTTTATCTACAGGAGAGTGGTGGTTGTTTTTATAGCTTAAATGAGTTAATATATGAAACTGCTTAGAAAGGTGCCTGGCACACTAGGACTCAATAAATGTTGCAATTTCTTCGACCAAAACTATATTTTGTGTCTACATTCCAGTGGTCATCTAGAAAGCAATAAGACAGTTTTCATACCATCTGGATACCAATCGTAACACTGAGCACTATGATGCAATTTCCATATTTGCATTTATCTTTATGGTTGATTGCCTTGGCCCCAGGGATTGCTCAGAGTGATACGGTTAACCTCTAATGCTGGCCTTTCTCACACTAAGGTCTGAGGACCCCTGGCAGATACATTCTCAGGGTGCCCTGAGTCTTTCCACCTGACAAACACTGAAGGAGAAGACCACATTGGACAAAGCTGTTGTTAAATCCTGGGTCTGTGAGGCTTTGGTCTCACTGAATGCCTGGGGTCCTGGGCCAGAACAGATCTATGCGTCTCTGCACTCTATGTGCCTGCAGGGCAAGGCGCCTAGCACTTCCGAGTCAATTCAATTGAGTTCAGTTCAGTCGCTCAGTTGTGTCCAACTCTTTGTGACCCCATGGACTGCAGCATGCCAGGCTTCAGGGCTCAGCAAAGGCTAGCACCCTTCCTCCCTTACCCTCTACTTCCCTCTGAATTCCCCCTCAGTCCTCCCCGGTCTTAGCTTTCAGTCTGGCCCCTGCCAGGCCACCCAACCCTTGCCAGGGAGGCTCTTCAGACCCACTCCCACCTGTATCCCCACCTATCTCAGTGGGGAAGTGGAGAGGAGGCTCCAGATCTGAATTCCACTGGAAAAGTGGCTCTGGCCTTCCTCGACCATCACGGGATGGGATGAGTTTCAATACAGAATCAACTCTCCAAAGGGGTTGTGTTCACTCTGTCAGGGATACAAGCAACAGATGGGAGGGACGCAGAGTGTGGAGGGGGCAAACTGGAAGACAAATGCCCCATCTAAAGGGAGCATCTGCTATTCCATTCCAGCTTATTGTTGATGGGCGCAAAGACTGGCTCCGCATAACTAGATCTTCTGTTTTTTTTAAAGTTGAAAACTCTGGATTGCATGTGATATCTGATTTTAAAAGCAGGACAGGTCTCAGACTAGAAACATCGCAGTAGCAAGCCTCAGAAGATCCCAGGTCTGACTCCACGTCCCTCCAGAGAAGAGGTTCCCACCCTCTTCACCCCCACCCACACACGTGCAGTGGTACACACACAGACACCTGCAGCGGAGCCACAGCTGAAAGAGGGGATAGGAGCTAATGACTTTCTTTTAAGCAGCCGGCCTCATTTCTATTGGTTCCTCTGGTTGATTTCCTCTGCCCCCTGGGCTACAAGGCACAGGCAGGTTCTTTTGGGAGGCCCATCACTCTACACCGGCAGAGCCAGCAATGGGAACTGCTGGCAGTGATCACGGTCTCAGGCATCCGTGGGGGTGAGGAAGGGCACTTTGTCTCTGCCAGGGTTGGGGTGAGGGATCCACATTCATGGCATGCTTGCACCACCTGCCACGCGGGAGGTTCTCATTGACTCCTCACCACCACGCTAGGAGGAAAGTACAGTTAGTCCTACTTTATGGAGACAGAAAGGTTAGGGTCTCGGGGTGATAAACACAGTCAGTGAGCTGCTCAGGATTTGCTGCTCAGACTGGGACTCTGGAGGGCAGAGCAAGAGGCAGGGAGCTGAGAGGTGTAGGGCATGACCCAGCTTGAGGAAGGAGTGGGAGGCAGGGGCAGAGCTGGGGCCAAGGAGAGAGGCCCGCCTACTAGGTGGTCCAGGAGGGGAGGACACACGGGAGAGGGGGACACAGCCGAGGGGGTGGGGCGCAGGGCGGAGCCTCAATGCCCCCAGAAGTTTGCAATAACTTTCACCTTCTTCCCTGCAACACTATTTGGATAAATTGGTACTCGGTCCGGGGCCGGATACAGACCCAAAAATGTAAACCATTCCGATAATTTCTCATTAGCTTTCCCCGGGATCAGCTGCGGGTGGAGAGGACCGGCCAACGGGGGCAGAAGAATTGCTGGGCTGGGGGCGGGCCCAAGTGTGTGCCCGCCCGACAAGTCGGGATTCGTGTGTCCGCCAGAGCCTGGCCAGGTGTGGGGGTCGAGCCAACCCCCGCCCCCCAACACCAAGAGGCAGCGGGGAAGGGTTCCTTCACGTCCCTGCAACACGACTCCAAGCGCTCAAAGTCTTCCTCTCTATCATCTAGAGAGGTCCAGCAGGTGCAGGGGGGCGGGGAGGGGGAGGTGGACCTGAAGTCCCCCAGCTGACCCCTCCCCCCCCGCCCCAAATCCAAGAGGACTCTCCAATTCTGAGAGGCGGACTTCACTAGAAAACCCTTGCCCCAAGCGCGCGACCTAGCCCTCCTGGGAGCCCTGGGTTAACACACAGCGGCCACCTCTCCCCAGCCAAGCAAGACCGTCCCTCGGCGCCCGAACCCTCGGGACAGTGAACCGCGCCGCCTCGCAGCGCCCCAAGGGGCGCAGCACACACTGTCTGCCACGTCGGACCCGGGCCCGGGCTGCGGCACTGGGGGTTATGGGGATGGTAACCGGGAGCCGTGGGATTCGGGGGAGTCCAAGGCGAAGACACCAGGAATCAAGAGCTTCTGCTTCGGGGGTTTGGTGTAGGGGCCGGTGGAGAATAGGTCTGGTGAATTTGGGGGGTTCGGAACTCCGAGCGAGGACGATCGCAGGGGGTTGCGGGGTTGAGGGCAAACCGGTGGCGGCATCGCCAGGAGGCTGCCTCCTAGCTTGAGGGATGCTAAGGGTGGGGGCGGCAGGACTTGCAGAAGGGGCCCCAAAAGGTGCCCTCTTCCGCTCTCGCTGATTCGAGAGCAGTCAGAAGTCCCCTGCCTCTCACGGTCTCCCCCTACCCCGGCACTCATCTCGGCCAAGCCCGGATAAGAGGGCCCAAGGCGCCCCAGGTCCCAGGGGAAGGGGGCGCTAAGGAGGAGGACGGGGCAGCTCCCGGGGGGACTCACCTCCGCGCTGCCAGCCGCGGCGGGGGCAGGCCCGGGAGGGGTGAGGGCGCGGCCGGCTCACCCGCCCGCCGCGGAACTGTCCTGGGCGCCCAGCGCGCCCGCGCTCCGCCCGCCGGTTTCCAAGTTGCTCAATCTGCGGGCGGCTCACGCCCTCCGGGGCCAGCGCCCCACCCGGCGCATCGGTCCTCTGGGGCAGCCCGGTTCGGCCCTCCTCTCCACAGTCCCCAGTCGGGCGATCCGCGCCGGGCTCTCCGCCCGCGCTGGGGCTCTCCGTTGCGCTTCGGCTCCGCCGGAGCTCCCAGCCGGGAGAGGGGCTAGTCCTCCGCGCGCACGAGGGAGGGAATCCCCCCCCTTTTCAGTCCCACCCCCGAGCCGGCCCCCCTTCCCTGGATCCGCAGCAAAAAACGGACTGGAGCGCCAGGCCTGGGAGTTCGTCGCCCCCCTCCCGCACGCCCTTGCCTCCGCTGGGGCGCTGCGCTCAGAGCGCAGGGCTGGCAATTGCACCCTTGGTCTGGACTCTGGGGCAGAGCCTCTGTCCTCCCTCCTCTCCTTCCCCAACCCTGCATTCCCAGCGATTCCAAGCTGCCAGAGCACCGGCGCTGCTGCAGGCATCCTGGGGTCAGAACAGGCCCGTGAGCCTAGCAAGATCTCAGTTTCCCCATCAGGAACCTGAAAAGTGACAAGAACAGGCTCCGAAGGAGTCTGGGGTCCCGTCCACACTCTCCTCTTAGCAGTCAACTCTTCAGAGCATTTTCCCAGTTCAGACGAAATGTGAGGCTCTAACCTCCAGGGAACCCAGGTGAGGACCCTCCACTGGGAGCTGGTGCAGGATAGCCAGGTAGATCTTGAAGCAAAGCCTAGATACCAAATCCCTGCTCCAACACTTACCAGCTGTGTGGCCATTCCTAAATTACTTAACCTCTCTGAGCTTCAGCGCTCTCATCTGTTTTGAGAGGTGGTGAAATGAAGGATGCAAATGCCAGGTAGAATGGTAGGGACCCTGCTAATGTTTGTGGAATGGGTCTTGAAGGGCAGCTGACACCTGTAGTGACCCAGATGCTGTTGAAGTCAAGCCTGAAGGGGAGAAGGAGGGAGACTCATTTCTTGGGGGTGGCAAACAGCTGTTCTTCAGCGTCACTTCAGATTGGGTAAAGGGAACTGGGCTTAAACTATAGTTAGCAGGAGTTAAGTTAGAGCAGAAAAGCTATACTGATGCGGGGAGTGGGGTGGGGGTGGTGGTGAGTAATCAAGACAGGCTGTGGACTCTCCTTCTCTGGAGAGGAAGGGGGAGCTCTGACTATGGAGACAAGGGCACAGGGCCGTTCACAGTGACAGGGGGATGGATGGAATGACCTCTGGTGTATTATGATGGGCAGAAAGCAGAGATGGTGGATGGATGGCCAGAGAAAGCAGAGCAGTACCAGGGTCTGGGCTCATTCGATCAGATCCTTGCCAACTTTGCAGGGGGCAAACAGCCATTTCTGAGTTTGGTCCTGGGTCCCATCCACCACCACCCCAAGCCCCACGCCCTCCCCCCTACCCTCAGCCTCTCCCCCATCTCACCGGCCCTTGGCCCTGCTCTGTGCCTAATCAAACAGCCCCAAATGCTGAAAACTCAATGTTTATTTTATTTTATTTTTTTACACACTTGCATAACTCCCTGACAAGCCACGCCAGGCGTTGGGCTTTTTGTTTGGTTTTATTTTGTTGCATTTAGGGGGAAAAAAAGAGAGAGAGAGAGAGAATGAATAACACAAACCACCCAGCCCTAGAAGCTGTCCCAGGCCAGGCAGTGGGTCGGGTTTCCTGCCTGAGGAAAAGTCTGTGGGAGTTGGGGAGGGGGGGCTTGCTACTAGGCTCAGGAATGAGCAAGAAAGGGAAGAAAGCCACCTGGGTCAGAGAAGATAATGAATTAGAACCATGTGACAAAAATGGATGAATAATAAAGACCATTTCTTGTGCACCTAATATATGCCAAGCACTGTGCTTTGCATCTAAATTCTGTTACCTAATTTTGCAACCATTTTACTTTCTTTCTTTTTTCTTTTTCTCACAAATGTGAATTCGAAACCTCAGAGACATCAAGTAATTTGCTCAGAGACAAACAGCCTGTAAGTGGCCAGTCCAGTTTTCACTATGTTAAATGACTTGTAATTTCCCTGGAAGTGTCATATTGCCCTGAGTTTGTCTATGCTGGTCTTTGCCTAGAAAGGCCTTCTCTGACCTTTCTCTTACCAGCCTTCAAAATGCCTACGTGAAGTTTCACCCAGCCACCTTGCACGTCCACCTCAGGACCTCACGCAGAGCTTTTCGTCACTCATCACTGGCCTGCAATTATCTCTCTCCCACTGCAGTGTGAGCCCTATAAGGACAAATGTTGCATCTGATTCAGCCTTATGATCCCAGCACCACAAGCATACTTAACTAATGTTTGGTATGGCCATGATTGCATCTTTTATAGTTCCTACAAGCTTATTCAGATGATCTCCCAGGTCATTATTGCTATTAACCCAGGCCAAGGTCATCATTCTTATTAGAAGACCTAAGGTCAGTGGGCTCAGGTTAGGGCAGTAGCTCCTAGAGATTAGTGAAGTTCTTCATAATTCATGTCATCCTCTGCCAGGCAAGAACTGTTCTACCACCTGCAGTGTCGTTATCAATATTCTTTCAGCTACAAGTAATAGACGACCAACTCACAATGTTAGACAGCAGGGTGGTGTATTATCTCATGTATCAGGAAGAGCTGAGGCGGGAATGATCGAGCAGTTGAGGAGCCACACACATCAGATTCTGTCCTCTAGTCTCATTCCACCACCCTCAGTATCTTGGCTACTATCCTCATGATCCCAAGATGGCTGCAGCAGCTCCAGACACTGCATCTTCAGCCAAGTCCAGCAATCACTTAAAGAGTTATGTGGCATTGAAAGTGATTAAAAGGATAACATTTGAGTTGTTTTATCCCAATTAAAAAAAGTTAAAGGAGCTAACTGGATCACATGCCCACCACTGAACCAACCACAGACCAGAGGGATGATTTTACTAACGTTAGCATAGACCCATCAGAATTTACTTGAACTATGAGGAAAACAGTGCTCACAGACAAAAGCAAAACTGACAGCTCTGAAGAAGGGGAGATAGGCTTTTGGGTAGGCAACCAACCTACACAGTGTGATCACACTGTGACTCAAAGAAAAGATGACTTTGTTATCGTCAATTTATTGCAGACTTTCTTGCAAACCTTAGTCTCTGTGACCCCATTGTTCTCCGAGATTGTGTCTTCTGTCTCTCTTTCATGGAAGCAATATAGGATAGTGCTTAAGTGCACAGACACTGGAATTAACCTTATTGGAGTTCAAAACCTACCTCTACCACCAACTAGCCCAATGTCCTTGGGCCAGTCACTTCAACTCCCTGAGCCTCAATGTCCTCATCTGTAAAATGGGTATAGAAACACTATGCCCCACCACAGTTGTTATGGGCCTAATATAAGGTGATGCATTTAAATAAAGAGCTCATGGCAGGACTTCCCAGGTGGCCCAGTGGCTAAGACTCTGCACTGCAAACTAAGACATGGCACAGCCAAATAAATAAATCAGTTCAGTTTAGTTCAGTTGCTCAGTCGTGTCCAACTCTTTGTGACCCCATGGACCACAGCATGCCAGGCCTCCCTGTCTATCACCAACTCCTGGAATTTACCCAAACTCATGTCCATTGAGTCGGTGATGCCATCCAACCATCTCATCCTCTGCCGTCCCCTTCTCCTCCTGCCTTCAATCTTTCCTAGCATCAGAGTCTTTTCCAATAAATTGGCTCTTTGCATCAAGTGGCCAAAGTATTGGAGTTTCAGCTTCAACATCAGTCCTTCCAATGAAGACTCATGACTAATCTCATTTAGGATGGACAGGTTGGATCTCTGCAGTCCAAGGGACTCTCAAGAGTCTTCTCCAATACCACAGTTCAAAAGCATCAATTCTTCGGCACTCAGCTTTCTTTATAGTCCAACTCTCACATTCATACATGTCTACTGGAAAAACCATAGCCTTGACTATACAGAACTTTGTTGGCAAAGTAAGCTCTCTGCTTTTTAATATGCTATCTAGGTTGGTCATAACTTTCCTTCCAAGGAGTAAGCATCTTTTAATTTCATGGCTGCAGTCAATATATAAAATACAGAGCTCACACAGTGCTAGGAATCATACTGACTACTTAGTAATGCTAGTTTTTATAATTAGCTGTAATTTTGTCCTGTCATTTATAAGTATTAACTATTTTATCTCAGGCATTGGGCTGGGAATGGAGAACAGATAAATGAAGATCAAGGAATTCCCTGCTGGTCAGAGATTAGGACTCAGCATTTTCACTACAGTGGTTCCGGGTTCAATCCCTGGTCAGGGAACTAAGATCCCACAATCTGCATGGTGCAACCAAAAAGAGAGAGGGAAACAGGTTTTATACTATCTTTCTAAGGTGCTTCTGGTCTAGTTGGGGATACATTTATGAGACCAGGTAGATGAGAAAGACAGATGGCACAATGAAAGGGGCAATCGTGACTCCTTGAGGGCGTCAGAGAAGCTTCTCCAAAGAGGAGATTCTTGCTTGAAAGACTTGGCATTTTCTAATCATGTGAGAACGTGAGATTAAAAAGGTGTTCTAGGCAGAGGGAATGGTGTGTGCCAAGGCCCAAAGACCTGATGGATCATGGTGCCCTTAGAGGCATAAGTCATCCTGCTTTGTAGGGATTTAGGGTGAGAGAGGTGAGAAGTAGGGTAGCAGGTAAGATCCTTCCAGAAGGGCCTTGTGTACCAGGCTAAAGAGCAGGGACTTCAGCTCAAGGGCAGTGGGGCTTATGACATGGATAAGAGGCAGGATGGAGTTGTACTTTAGAAGTGCCTGGCAGCTCTTTTGTAAAAAAAAATATTTATTTTTTGAATATTTATTTTTTGGCTGCATGGGTCTTAGTGGCAGCACACAGGATCTATAGTTGTGGCATTCAAATCCTTCGTTGCAGCTTGTGTGATCTAGCTCCTGGCCGGAAATCGAACCTGAGCCCCTTGCATTGGAAGCTCGGAGGCTTAGCCACTGAACCACCAGGGAAGTCTCTGGCAGCTCTGGTGAAGGCTGGATTTGAAGCTGAGAGCCTGGAGGGGGTTAGCAGCCCCAGTGAGAGAGGGTAAGGAGGGAAATGCCCGAGAACACGGCTCTGCTCCTCCTCTTTCCTTGCTCAGCCCTCCCTGCCTGAGGGCCAGTGTGTCCTCTGGAAGCCCGCTCCCAGCACAGGCCCACCCTCCCAGAGTCTCTGACTTGTAGGGAGCTTGGGCTCCCCTAGCAAATCCCTTGGGATGCCGCATCTCTCACCCCTTGGGGTCTGGAAAACCCACTCCTTCATTCTGCCCCTCGGCTGCCCTTTGTGGTCCTCGCTCTACCGTCCTGGGAACTTCCTGCTCTTCATTCTTGCTGTTCTGCCTCCCTCCTCTCCTCACTGGGGTTTCCCGCCCTCCAGTGACATCTTTGGTTACCCAGGACTTTGATGTCTATCTCAAGGTGCTCTTTTTCATCACAGACACAACCAGCATCTCGGGGACCTCATGCTCCATGTCAATGCCACTTTCAACACCTCCCAGACCTCCCAATGTCAATAGTCCCTTCAGCCTCCTGGCCACAGGACCACTCCCTCTTGGCCTCACCTGAACTGCTCCATCTCTGAGATCCTAGACGCCCCCCCCCCCCCACAAGAGGCCCCGAAGAGACCCCCTTCCCCCTAATTCAGATTCCTGACATTTCAAGTACTCGATCATGATTTCTGCCCTGTCCTTGCCTCAACATCTCCCCTGCCCTGCAAACCCTCCATCCGTTCCCACTGAGTTCTGGAGGAGAATCTTCCCAGCTAACCTGCCGCTTCCACTGGGCACACAGCCACAGGTATCCACCCCTCAAGCCACCCAGCCTCATCAAGACAACTGAGACACCCAAGAGTGACTCCTTGAATTTCCCGTCCCTAAAACTAAACTCGTGGGACTTCCCTGGTGGTCCAGTGGCTAAGACCTCATGCTCCCAACACAGGGGGCCCAGGTTTGATCCCTGTTCAGAGAACTAGATCCCACATCCCGCAACTAAGAGTTCGCCTGCTGCAGCTGGAAG